GGGAAGGAGTTAACTCCCGCCCGAGAGCCGCGGGGGGAATGTGCAGCCAGGGAGGTGCTAGTGAAAGTGACTGCAGAGGAGTGAATGGGGCTGGGAAAGTTTTAGAAATGCTTCCTTAGGTATTTGACAGCGTGTTCCGCTCTCTCATAAATTTGGTCTGAAAGTGAGTTTCTACTCAAAGCGCCTCAGCCTTCCTTTTTTTTTTTTTTTTTCTTCTTCCCCCCTTGGATTTTCCACAAATTAGCAGATCAAGAGAGATTCAGAAAATGTCTCTGAATACACATGTGTGTTAAGTAAGCTTTCTTTTGAGGCGTGGCCAAAGCCTTCTAAATCCTTAATTAAGGGCAGCTTGAGTCTGGGAGCTTTACTGCGCTGTACTGCTGACAACCGAGGTTAAACTTTACTGCTATCTTTCATTACGCAAGATCTTTGCAACACTTAAAATCAGGGAGCCGGGGCCTGGAGCGCGGTCCATGTGTCCTATTGCACTTGAAGCTTTGCTTCCTTGGAGGAAAGGTTCTTGGGGGAAGGTGGAGTCCAGCAACATCGAATGGGTTTAAGAAGGCTTTTTCAATGGGTTCCTTGCCGTGCAGCTCACAGTAACCTTCCCTTACAAATACAGCAGTCTTGAGAGTATTTGCACAGATCAGCTTATGAATAAATGTTTTTTTTTCTTCTTGCAGAAGAAGAACAAGAGGAAGATGAGGAAATTGATGTTGTTACTTTAGCTGAAGCAAACGAATCCGAATCCAGCACAGAGTCCAGCACAGACACATCAGAAGAGCACAGTAAGCCCCACCACAGCCCGCTGGTTCTCAAACGGTGTCACGTCAACATCCATCAGCACAATTACGCCGCTCCTCCATCCACCAAGGTTGAATACCCAGCTGCAAAAAGGCTAAAGTTGGACAGTGGCAGAGTTCTCAAACAGATCAGCAATAACCGAAAATGCTCGAGTCCCCGCACGTCAGATTCAGAAGAGAACGACAAGAGGCGAACACACAATGTCTTGGAGCGCCAGAGGAGGAACGAGCTGAAGCTGAGTTTCTTTGCCTTGCGTGACCAGATACCCGAGGTGGCCAACAACGAAAAGGCGCCCAAGGTTGTCATCCTGAAAAAAGCAACAGAGTACGTTCTTTCCATCCAGTCGGACGAGCACAGACTGATTGCAGAGAAAGAGCAGTTGAGGCGGAGGAGAGAACAGTTGAAACACAAACTCGAGCAGCTAAGGAACTCTTGTGCATAGGAACTTTTGGGCGTTGCTTAGAATAACCCGAACTAGACTGAAACGATGATAAAATATTAATGTTTCTAATATCACTCATGAACTACACCAGTCCATTGAGTATGGAACTATTGCAACTGCATGCTGTGCGATTTAACTTGAGACTACACAACCTTGGCTGAATCTCCCAAGGGTTTGGCCAGAACCTCAAAACTGCCTCATAACTGATACTTTGGGCATAAGGGATGATGGGACATTCTTCATGCTTGGGGATGAACTCTTCAACTTTTTTTTCTTTTAAAATTTTGTATTTAAGGCATTTTTTTCATATGAGAACCCAAACAAAAGTTGTCCCCAGATTGCTGTATATATTTACACATCTTATTGCCATGTAAATACCTTTAATAAAGTCTTTATAGAAAAATGTACGACATTAATACGTAACAGTTGTGGCAACTGGATTTATACTTGTCTTGAACTTCTGTGCCATAACATTTCACAGTTTTGTTTTTTTATTTAAATACATTTTTTCTTTTAAAAATGATTTTTATTTTGTTTTTAGATAAATAAATATTTGCCCAAAATATAATTAGCTAAATCCTGTGTAAAGACTTTGCTTTCTCTCCCACTGTTGTCATTAGACGTTGTTTCCATGTCATCCTTTTTCCTGTCCTCATGGCAGTGACCTGACAAAAGTCAAAGGGGAGTTAGGTGGGAGGAAATGATGACAGTTTGGCAGCTTAGTAGGGAGTTGGATTTTATTCCTCCCACCCTTGTATTAATTCAGGTAGATAAAAATCATTGGTCTAATGTGCTTTGTTGTTCAACCGGCGTTGCCACCAGTGCCTCGATGGAGGTGCTGGTAGCAATGTCTGTGTTGGCCATGGTCATCTGCCTGCTCAAAGTAAAGCTGAGGCGTTGCATTTTCACAGCAGTTGCCCCAGTCCCTGGGCTCTGCGTTCCTTCCAAATACATGTGAATATATTTTTTTTTAGGGCACGACCTTCTCTCTGCACTAGAGACCCAGCTCTGCGTTTTGAGGGCTGCTTTGTAGTAGGCTCACCTTAATTGCTTCCTGTTTGATTTTTGAACAGGAGTTGAATGGGATAAGAAAATAAACTGAGATAGGGAGTGTTGAAGTGGTTAAAACAACAGAGCGGTTTCGCGTGTTAAGTGCTGAAATCAGCAGAGCCAATCTTCCTGGTCAAACACCTTAACGCTTTGTCGGTGTGAATAGTTACTTGTGATATCAAGGAATAAAGTTCAAGGACACACAAAAGGGAGCAAGAAGAGCTATTTCTCACTTGGAGAATACACTCAGACAGATTCCTAGCATTTGCCAGACATACTAAATCATATTTACATTCAGGAATTGTCTCATGATCAGCTTTGGATGGGCCATAACATACTTGCCTGACACAGGTCCTAAGATTAGATTTGATCTTTTTCTCCTCTCCTTTCATCCCCTTAGCTCCATTTCAGTCAAAACTTGACCAAGAAATCAGTGAGCCCTTTGATGTGGAGGAAGAAGGCGCTTTTCAAAAAGTTGAATCTTGTACTTTATTTTCATAATTCCCGTTAAATACATATTTCCTTGGCTTCTAACCATTCGAGGAGCAGTGCTGACAGATAACACCAGTGCCAGCAACTGAACTGGGACTGAGGGGTCAGGTTTTCTATTGCTTTTGAGTTCGGAGCAGGAGGAAGGGCTGAGTGTGGGTCTATATGGAGTAGGGGCGCAGAGGTAACGTTTTATGGACAGGGTAGATGCCAAAGGTCTCTACCCTGCACAGCCTATGGTGACCATTCGAACAATTTTGCACATGGGGCTTTCAAAAGAAAGTAAGTGTCTAAATCCCATTTGATGAGGTGCTTTAGCTGCTGGGCTGAAGATTCCTTTGGAAGGAAAATGTTCTGTTAAAAAAACCAGGAGAACGCAAGGCTTTTTTCTGCAATTTGTCTGCACCACCCGCTTGTAACTGGGTTTATAGAAGTGGTCTGCAGTTGCTTTTTTTTCAGCCTGTGATTCAGATATTCACTTATGAGGAAAAAGAATGATGTGAAATGAAACTGTTAATTATATCTAACCGTAAATTGGGACATCTTCCAGGTCTGAATAAGAAAAGTTCTACCTTGAGACATGATAACTTATTTTAAAATTTCACTTGCCTTTTGGCATGCACCATATTTTAGATATTGCTTTGGAACAGAAGCAAGCCGTTGTTCAAAGATTTCTAACTGCATCCCCATCCTCCGAAACAAACCGAGAGGTGTAGATCCATCCACAAACTATGAAAAAACTCTGTCACCTTTGGGTCCCACTTTCGTGTATTAGCAAAACCCCCTCACTTCTTACCGTTAAATGAGGTTAGACCACAGTGATTAATAAACCTTTCCTTATTTGCCAGCTTCTTAAATCATTTGGAGAATAGTTTTGGTTTTTTCCTTTTATCTGCAGGAGCTCCTCTGTCTTTTGATGAATAGGAAACTTGCAGATATTTCATTTCTTACCCTCATCTTTTAATCGAGCATCAGTTCCGCTTGCCACTTTCCTACTGGAAGAGCACACCAGACCATGAACATGACTCCAAATTGCCACTCTTTTAGAGTATGAATTTATGGGATGATGCTTAGTATTTATGAAGTTTCTTACTTAAAGGATTATGAGGTACCTAAATAATATAGTAAAAAAAAAATAGATAAATTTAACACAGCCTATGTGTGCAGGGGTAAAAAAAAAAACCCCTCTCCTGGTCATTAAACTGCCACCACAATAGAGAGGAAGGTGGCTTCAACTTTCTGACTCCGCGTGAGGGGTAAGGATGTTCGGAAGACACAAACTTCCCACAGGAGTTTCCGAGCTGGATTCAGTTAGTCACACTTCGTATAGGGATAGGGAAGTGTTGGGGTTTGCTGCTGTTTTGGAGCAATAAAGGAGATAAGCTTATAAAAGAAGCCTCTGAGCCTTGAAATAAAATGCAGTAAGTATTCGCAGTGCTTGCCAAACAGCTGTACCAAAACACTACTTGAAATACAAGGAGCATTTTTAACTTCATCTCTCTGCTCCTTTACTTTCACAGGAGATTTCAAGCCACTTCTGTTCCAGAAAAGCATTACACAAAATATGGCATCAAAGGAAACTAGAAACAAACCACTAGGGTGAAAATAAAATTGCCCTTATCATATACCCTCATTGTTCTCATTTGATAACACTGATTTTTAGGGTTCCAGCTTCATTTTTTTCTTGTGTTTAAGTTCTGTCTTTCCAGCCAACTAAGAATCTAAATGACTTCAATGTATCAATACAGAATATGCTGGGGGAGCATTGGGATGCACAAAAGCACGCCTGTCTGCTTAATTCGGCTCCCGTCAGAGCCTGTGGAAATTCCATGTTTCTTCCAGGGAAACAGACTCGTGCCAGTGGAGGATGCTCTTGAAAATTTTATCACTGCCTATAAAGAAATCACTTTACTTGCCACTGCCATAACCATTCGTGCCTCCATAGCACTTTGCAACCATTGCAGGCAGTTGAGAGATGACAACCATCTGATGACAACATCAGAGTTGTATTAAAAGGAGAATTTCAGGTAAGTAAGTGGAATAGAATGACTGTAAACTGGAAATGAGCCAGGACACTTCAGTTCACTTCTGAATTTATTCAAAACGGAAGGTAGAGGTGGTTGTTCCATTTACAGAGATTAACCATCTTCTAATACGCTGGATTTTTTTTTTTAAACTTTTTTTTTTTTTGATTGATCTATGTGAGACTCATCTGTCAATGAATTATCAGGGAAAAAAAAAAAAGCCTGAACAATAGGGGATCCCAACACAACCAGACAGCTTAGGAAGACACTCAGGATTTACTTCCCAGCTTACGGTTTTGCTCTTTCCTCATTTCAAGAGGACATCTATGGGAGCTTCTGAAAAAAAGCTCTACTGACTAAAAACTAACCCCTGGTTTCCCCTTGAGGTTTCCATGCAGAGAAGGCCTAAACCTGACTAGAAAAAAAAAAAAAAAATAAAATCAAGAAATGAGATAGATGAGCCACAGAACTGGATTTCGTTTCCAGTACAAAACGTTTGACGTTCCGAAGGTTTTTCCTACCTTCCTGCCATTTACTCATCTCAGGCATAGCTGCAGAGTCAGTGGGGACGGGCAACGGCAAGAAAGATATCCAGGATTCAGAGTAACAACTAGGAAGTCAAAGTGGGGGGATGTTCCTAATTCTGCCATTCACCTTCTACAGACATCTTGAGGGAAGGGAGGCTTGAAAGCCTTTGGAGCATCTTGCTGACGGCAGTGGGCTCAGCGGTGTGAGTAGTGCACATCATGGAAGGGTTGCAGTTACCGTGTGTCCAGGTGGGAGCAGGGTTGGGTGAGACACTGGCCGGGCAGTGACAATACCACCTCTAAGCAGTTCTTGACTATATGACAGGGTACTTTTTTACATCCCTACAGAGGCCAAGGACTTTGTCCCTAATCGTGCCCGGACTCCATCTTCCTAGGAAATAAGTTCATTTTTCTGATAATAAAAAGTATGACCTTAGGTGCTAAATATTAGTGCATATGAAAAAGTTTCATTTGCCACTTGCCAAAACTATTTAACATTTGTAGTTACTGAGCAAACCTTGCTTCAAGTTGCCATCGATGCATAGGAGCCCGAGCTACGAGGCACATCTGCGTGGTCGTGCCTGAAGCCACAGGACGTGAGGGAGAAGTGGAGCTGCACGGCTCTGGCTGACTTTGACGGCAACGCATCTTATTCCCACAAGCACCGTTTGCAGTTTCCAGCTTAATGTACGAATTGCAGAGCTACTCCTTGTTCTGCACAAGTCTGGGAGGAAGCGGCTAGGTAGGTTAGTTCCTGACATTAGGTATTCTGGTGATTGTATTTTGTTGCTAAATTCGCCCTTCACGTATGTCTCTCTCTATGGGTCTTGCCACGGCTACTATTTTGTTCAATACATTTCCACTCAAAGCAAAATCTTTCTTGCAACCATGGGTAATTTCCATCGCGAGCTTCTATGTCCCGATTATGTGGAATTATGTTTTCCCTAAAGGATCAAAAATTTTTTAAAAAAGAAGTAAAGGATTAGGTGCTATGAATGAGGAGGTTTTAAAATACAAGCTGCAAAAATGGAGCAATCTGACTGGGTAACAAAGAGTTCCAAGCAGAGAAATTAACACTGCTTGGAACTAATTAGCCCCATCAGCTTTCTTCATGCTAATTTATCCATGATGAAAGAGGACAGAAATAGCAGGAGGAAAAAAAAAAAAAATTACAGGAATTGTGCTTTATATACAACTACTACGAGTAGGCAAACCCCCCAAAATTCTGCAGGCTAAAGCGCGAGCGTGCGTGATCAAATGCAAAGCCCTGCTCCCGCAGCCACGTCCCTTTGGACATCGCTCTGGATCCCTGTGGGTTGCAGTTGCAGAGCAGCGCTCCCGTTTCCCAGCACATTTTTCTTCCAGGCGCCACGCGTGTGCGAGGGGCTGCTCATAGGGATGCAGCTGCCGGAGCGAGAGCTTCTTTCCACTCTTTTTTCTTCCATTAATCTGCTCCGTGAGGACAGCAGAACCAAACA